GGGCTCTGGGGCTGTGCCTTGCTCTCGGGCTGGGGCACGGTCAGCCTGCTGTGAGGGTTGCCACGGTTTGCACGGGAGAAGGGGCAGCCGGCGGGCTGGGACGTAAGGAGCTTGTGGGAGATCCGGGGCTCCTTATGTGGTAACCATTTTGGAGAGGTGAGATAACGATGTGCCTTATAATGCAAAATGGAGGCTTGGCGGGGAGCGTAACTGCGATGAGGCCTCTCGATGCCAGCAAGAGGCTCCCAGCAAGGCCCCAGCAGTGAGCAACAGTAACGTAAGGAAAAGATCACCGCTCGCTATCCTTTCTTTTCAATTGCGGCCAGCCCTGTCTGTCTTCACACAAACCCTTGAGACCTGAAACGCTCGGGGGAATGGGACGCGCCTTTTCTGTTGGTGCACCAACTCCTGCCTGTTAGAGGCAGTGGGAGGAGAGCATTGCCAAACAGACTTGCAGCATTTCTTCAATCTGTGAAGAGGCATCTGGGAGGCTTGTCTCAAAAAGGGGCTTTTTTGCTTTAGAAGTATGAAGAATCTCCCCAAATGGAGCATGTTTTCTCCTAGTGGGTACCCTATTCCACAGGAAGCCTCAATAGCACTTACAGACAGTAAAATCTTTATTTTGCATGATTATTGTAAGTATATATGTCCTCTTGTAATGTTTGCTTTTCTTCTAACACTGCAACATCAACCTGTAATCTGCTGTAACCTCCAGTCCTGGTTTGCAGTGCTGTTGCCTAACCCCATGTTTTCATTTTCTGTCTCTGCAGATGATTGTTCCTGCTTAGAAGTAGTTACTGGTCCTTATGACTTTATGCTGATTTTTCTTTTTCCTTCAAACTGTTTCCCCCGGTTCTTTGACCTCATTCTGAATTTTGAACTTCCCCTCCAATGGGCTTGTTGACAGCCCAGCATCATCTAGAAATGCCATAAGCATGTTACTGAAAACACTGAAGCATTTGTCTGCCCCATGTTCGGAGGCAGACCTCAATGATCCCTGCCTTATTTGAGGCATTCATTTGTTTTCATTTTAATGACAGTTGTTATCCTGCTGTTCACACAGCTGTGCAAACGGCTTTGCTTCACTATTGCTGATCGAATGTTGACCTGAAATTGCAAAATGCTGTTCCTTGCAATATTTCCAGTCAGCTTTAGTGTCTTACTGAATGCACTGAGGCAGAGTGAACCTCCACTTTATATGCTTGTGTATAGATTTTTTCAAAGTAGAATAAAGTGGAGCCGGTTTTCACTTTGAGCAAGTCCTTGAAACTCCTTCAGTGCCTTGGCCAGTCAACATAGCACTGGTTCCTGCCCCAAAAGCTTTGACTTTATTTGCTAGGAGGCGAAAAGAGAAATAAGCAAGTTTCTCTGCCTTGCTTATGACTTTAACCATATGCCCTGTGAGTCACAGATAGCGACTGTGCTGCTTTTATTTTTCTAGAGATGATACTCCACACGTCCCCAATGAGAAGCTTGGAGAAGAAAAGGTTCTGCACATAGTAGAAAATCTGACTTCTCTGATAAGAGAGACATTTCCAGGTAGGATCTGAGGGGATGAGAAAGGGAGAGGGGCACACAGTCTCATGGGATGAGCTTACCAGGGTGGAGAAATGACAGAATTGAGAAGGGGAAAGGCACAGAAGGGCAGTGGTTGTTTGGACTTGTTTGTCCTCTTCCTAGTTGCTGTATGTCATGAGGCATGTCTGAATTGAGGCATCTGACGCACACTCATTTTTTCACGTTAACTCACTCAGAAGAGAGGAAAATAAACATTGCTGTAACTAGTCATTAAGACAGAAAAGGCTGCAAGATTTCCTCACACTTAATCCCTGTCAGCAGTGGGGGAAGGAGCGCTACTGATGGTGAAAGCTCACTGCTTCCTCTGTAAAGCCGTGGCTCTGGGGTGGCTTGTCCCAAGGAGGGATGGTCTTCGCAGTGTTGTACCCAGTCAGTGCAACCACGTGGCTGTGGCGTGGATGATTCACTTTTGCAAAGCTCTCAAGCCATGATGTTCTTTCCAAGTCTGTGAGTGCCTCGGGGAGCTTTGGTGCTGAGGAACTCTGAAGCAGTCATTGATTCCTCTGTGCCTCCTTTTCTCTGTCTCTAGACACTAAAGTCTACGCGGCGATGGGCAATCATGACTTCCACCCCAAGAGTCAGTTGCCAGGGAAGGAGCACAGGATCTACAACCGAACAGCTGAACTGTGGCGTCCCTGGCTGAACGATGCTTCCATTCCTCTTTTCAGAGCAGGTGTGGCACCACTGGCTCATGTTGGAAGCACTCTGGGGAGATGGGGGTGGTTAGGAGAATACCACAAATAGTTTTCCCTGCTTCTATGCTCAGACCAACAGTATTTGTAGAGTATTTACAGAGGAAGAGTCCAATTTAATGCTGATTTCTGGCACAGAGTTCTCCTGCATGCAAGAAAAGACATTTCTTCATGCTTTAGTCCTCCTGCTTTCCTCAAGTTACTGGAAAGTGACCCTACAGAGAATGCAGAGTGGTGAGCTTCAGTGGAAGAAAAAAGATCTTTTAAGAAAACTGCTGGTGCAGGCCAACACTGTGGCTCTCTAGGGCTGCCCAGCTCCTGGTGCTGCACACTGTCCCCACGCAGGGTCTCTCCTCACCTGGAGAGGCATAAGCACGACAAGAGGTACACAGGGGGAAGAGTTGCTCCGAATCCCCATCCTGAAGTGGTCAGAGCGCTGCCAACACCTTGTCCAGACAGTGACGCTGCTGTGGTCATTGCCACGGAGAGCTGAGAGGGATGGAAACAAAAGGGTCTGGGGTCACAGCGACAGACCAGACCTCCAGCTCTGTCCCTGCCGATTGCATTTTTCAGGAGCTTTCTACAGTGAGAAGCTGCCCAGCCCAAGGACAAGGGGGCGAATGGTTGTCCTCAATACCAATCTGTACTATGACCAGAATTACGAGACAGCTGGTGAGGAAGATCCTGCAGGGCAGTTCCAGTGGCTGGAAGAAACACTGACCAATGCCTCTAGAGCAGATGAAATGGTATTAAAAGAAATGAATAAACAAACTTTGTAGAGGGCTTCTCCCAGCCTGGAAGCTCTTCTTGCTCCTGCTCTCCCTTCTGTGCAGTCAGAGCAAGCCAGGGCTCTGTGGGAAGCGTGGGCTTTGCATTCAGTGCAGCTCTTCACTTTTGTAGGTCTACATCGTGGGGCACGTCCCTCCTGGCTTCTTCGAGAAGAAACGAGACAAGCCCTGGTTCCGGAGTGGCTTTAATGAGCGATACTTGAAAATTGTGCAGAAGCACCACAGAGTGATTGCTGCCCAGTTTTTTGGGCACCATCACACGGACACCTTTCGGATGTTTTACAGTGATACAGGTATTGGTTCTGTCCACCCAAGCATTTGCGCAGTAGCTCTGCTAACCCCCAGAAAATCGCTGTCAATGAGAGTTTTCAGTGGCTGTTAGCTGAATGCAGCTGAGAAGCCAGAAAAGGCTTGTGAAAGTCTTTGGTCAACAAGAGACAACAGTGGTTCTGATCTCCATCCCCACCCTGTAGCTCCAGCCCTCCTTTCTGTTCACCCTCAAATTTTGTTGTTTCCCTTCAATGCCTTGCAATTTTTTGCCTGCTCCCTATTGATGGGTTTTGGACATCAGCTGAGACATAAGGGAGCAGTTTGCATGCTCTGGCTCTCCTTTGAGCGTGGTTCTCTTGCACACCCTCACTGCAAGAGTCTTTGACAGCGGTGGAATGCCCGTTCTCGGCTGCCGCAGACCCATATTCGATCCCTGATGCCATTCAATGTGCTGATCTTTATGTGTGCGCTGTCGTAACTCCGGCTGGTGACAAAGCTGCTGTTTGCAGCGTGATCGGTTCCTGGGGTGCTCACCGCAACACGGACGGGGTGTGATACAAGCCAGGGTCTCCCATTCATGGGTTATTTTGCCTTTCTGTTAAGGTTCTCCAATCAATGTCATGTTCGTGGCCCCTGGAGTGACTCCCTGGAAAACAACATTACCTGGGGTGAACAATGGAGCCAACAACCCTGGGATTCGGGTGATCGACTATGATCCAGACACCCTTCAGGTTTTGGTAGGGGATCCCCATGTGCTGCATGCTGCAGTTTTAGAAGGGTGCTTTAATTCCTCCACATGGTTTTAACAGGCAGGACTACAGGAGCCAAGTGGCTATGTAGGTGTCGTGGTTTAGCCCCAGGCAGCAGCTCAGCACCATGC